CGAATAAGAAATTCAGCGAAACGATATAGTTCATCTTCTTGTTTTTTAAAGTGATTTTCATCTGTTGTGTTTTTATTTTTTTTTAATAAAATTTCTAAGCTTTGGAAATCTTTATTTTGTGTCATAATAGAAACTAACAGAAATAAAACACAATTAAGTAGTGGTGGTATGATGGTAAAAGATAAGAAAACATGATGCCAATTAGCTCTCTTTAATTCATTCTTTCATTTCATTTAATCCGGTAAACAAAATACTTATCAACTACATTCACCCTTAAAAAAAAAATTCGGATTAGATACCACTTGATTTTAACAAAAACAACAAAATGAAATGCAGAAAAAAAAAGCTCAAATTCTATAACTCTACTGAGTATTGATAACTTTTGACTGAATCGAGAAGCTATAGGTCCTAAGAGCATGATTATAGGTGGGTAATAAGAGTAAATATAGGAGTTTTTAAAATATAAAATTATTAAAATTTGAGTAAAAGGATGAAAGAGAGTGTTTTTGTGGGGTGTATTNAAATATAAAATTAATAAAATTTGAGTAAAGAGAGGAGATAGTGGATATTTTTTGGAGAGAGGGTATATATAAGTTGTATGGGAAGAAACTTTTGGAGAGGGGTTTTAGGAGTGTTTAAATATAAAATTAATAAAAGTTGAGTAAAAGGATGAAAGAAAAGGTATAAAGTTGAGTAAAAGGATGAAAGAAAAGGTATAAAATTGAGTAAAAGGAAGAGAGAGTGTGTGTTTTAATAATTTTATATTTAAGAACTTGCTATATTTACTAAGGATAATCATGCCGTAAAGTAAGATTCTGTAAGAACCCTCTTTTTACTGTTCTGTCTTAGACAGGAAACAGATTCTCCATTTTTAGTGAAGACTGTTTTGTCCTCTTCCAAAACTACACAAAGGAAAACTCTTAGCTCTTCCATAAACCCATGTTTCATTGCTCCAAGTGAGTCTCTCTGTTCATAGATCCATGATCAGTTTCAAGCAACCCTTTTAGACTAGCAACACCACAAATTTTCCGAATAACTACATGACAAATACTTCAAAATTCAAAAAAAGCTTCGTCATTATGACTCCGTAAAGAGTTTACGTTTTTAGACTTTGTTATGTTAAGTTAGTAGCTTTATGGATAATCTAAGAGCATGATCAATGGGAGAGCTTAAGTAGGGTTGTTTAGTAATTTTTTTATTATAAATTATTTTAAAGTTTTTAGCAACTCATATTTTGGATTGCTAAAATCTCTTAAATTAGCAACTTTTATTGGAGTTGCTAAGTAACTTTTTTTTATTTAATTATTTTTAACTTTTTAGCAACTCATTAAAAACTACTTAACACTCATCATTGCACAGGCTCTAAGCTTCTTTCGTTTCCATTGTGATAAAATTATTTTTTTAAAAATTGGTTGGACACGTTAAATGATAATTTAGAAGATTAACACTATATCCCATGATTCACTACAACAAAACAGGTTACTTTGTATCACTTCTTTTAGATATTTGTCTCTCAAGCTTCTTTTGGAAAAAAATTTACTTATTAGACATACTGAAACGAAAAAGCATAAATAAACATAAAAAAACGAAGATCAATATCTTAAATTTATGCAATGATGTTATATGAATCGTTGCATTTCTGTTTGCTTAATTTTTGCTTATATATTACTCTTTTTTTTGCATATAAAAAATGTAAGTTAGTATTTTTTTTTTTTTTTGTCAACTGTAAGTTAGTTAGAACATGAAAATGTCCATAAGAAAATTTAAGTGTTGGTAACCATATATATACATGAACGTATCTTTCATCATCAATTTTTATTACTACTCATCTAATTGTTGAATTCTTTTTTAAATTTTCACAACTTAAAAAAATTATATTCTTGTAATTAATTACTAATACATTATTAAAACTGTTATATTTCTATAAAGTACATTAATTATGTATCTATTTTATTCTTAATAAACGAATATATATATAACGA